CATGGCCTGGTGCCTTACCTCTGCGAGAGTAAAAGCGGCGGGCGGGCACCGCGCTAGCCCAGGACGTGCCGGTAACAGGTCCAGCGGCAGGCAGGCGCCTGTCACCGTTTCGCCAGAGTGGTCCCTCCCATCTTTCTTTCAACCACAAGTCTTGGCCCCCACGAAGAAGCAAGAGCACCGCGGTGCTGTTGACCTCCAATACCCCCGCAGCCCTTGCCTTCATGTTCCGTGGCAAATCTCGCAGGATTTTGGGAGCTCGGCGAATGAAGCAGGCAGCTGCGGTCCAGCCCCCCAAAGGTGTCCGTCCAAGTACCTTCCAGGTTCCTTTCGTATGTCCCAAAACGGATCCCGAAGTCCGGGCTGAGATTTCTCGGACATGGGAATCCACTCGTTCACCTCGGTGTCTGTCAGCACTCTAGCCAAGGTGTACCGCAGCCCAGGGCCAAGAATCGTATCGTTGGCCTCGCGGGGCCGGAGGGGACCGGAATAAGGCAAGGTAGGTGACGAACGAGCTGAGCAAGACCCTGGTCTCTTCAGTGCTGCTATTCCAAGGATATCGATCCAGCGCGGAATCCTTCGAGGGGGAGGGTACGAATGGGCGTTGTGCGCACTTGCGCGTTGCCCAAAGTAGCCTGCGTTGGCCGGAATCGCGAGAAAGCGTGAGGGACTGCAGGCAGGCAGGCAGCGGGAAATGGGTCGCCTAGTCGCCTCAGGCCCTGGCAACGCAAGATTGGAAGCTGCAGCCTTAAGCTGCACACCATCGCTAGATGGACGGCAACCACCCTTGTCGCCGGCGGTGGGCTCAGCGCTGCGGTCTGCGGGCGCGACGGTGGTGTTGCAGTGTGTTGGCGCTGTTGAAGGTTACGTAAGGTAGGTATTCGGACCAAGGTGTGATGCGTTGGCAAGCAGGACCTTCGCTGCAGAAGGTGTACGTAAGCAGGTGTGCGCTTATATAATGAGCTGATGCTGCAGGCAGACAGGCAGGCGGGTTACCTAACGAGTCCAGACCACCCTTCTAGGTTGATTTGTCGAGATGGTGGTGGTGGGAAGGGTTGCTAGGAGTGATGGGGAGCTGAGGTTCGGAGGTGTGGGAGCCTGGCGTCATGGGAACGGGTTTGGTCTGTCTGCGACTCGCGACGAATCTGCTGACGGGATCCTGTGCCGAAGTCGAGTCACTGAGGCCCCTTTCGCTATTTTTGACACTTTCGCGCTTGTAATAGACTGCTTACTGTCACTGAAATTCGCTCCATTCTCTCATGAGCGTGGAGAGACTAGGTCTCGAAGTGTCAATTTGGTGTCTAGTAATACCCTTGAATTACAGCAGATGGCGTGAAAGAAGTGACCCGTCGAGTCGTCCCCTGACATGACCTCAAAAGAATAGAGAAGAAAAGTCCCCATGAAAAGCAGAGGAAATGCATGCAAACAACAGCCGAAAGACGTGACAAATGAAATGTCGTGAACGAAGGTCAGACTGCAATCTTCTCGGGCCATACCGCACCTGCATGGCGGGATGTCCAATGAAGCATCGCCAGTCGAAGTCTATTGCGTCAAAGACCAATCATGATAGAATCCTACAATCTCCAATGAAAACCTGCATGCATCAAATGTTAGACTTCACCTCTGAAGATGTGCTTGTGGGAAGAGACTTACCACTCGGCTTCCTGTATCGCATATCCAGCCAAACATCCTCCCGCCAAAGAAAGATGATTACTTTCGCTTGAACAGTAATACTAACGTCTTCGCGCATCCATCAGAGATCCGCGAAATGCAAGTCAAAAACATATGTTCATCCCTCCATCCAAGATCCTCTCTCATTCGAATCTCGCATAGCCATTCCGACGCAGAATCCGCTCGTAGGTGCGAAGCCTCTCCTCCTGCTCCTGAATCATGCACCGTTGGTCCTCGATGTCCCTCCGCAGTCTCTTGTTGTGGTCATCGACAACGTCAAACTTGCGCTCCCAGTTGACGATGATCCGTCTCAGCTCCTCGACCTTGTCCGAGACGTAGTGCCTCGAGAGCTCCTTGACCCTCGCAATCAGCGCGTCGCGCTCCCTCTCGATCTTGTGCAGCCGGTGCCGCAGCTTCTCGACCTCGCGGTGGAACTTGCCCGTGTGGCCGCCGGCGTTCTCGAGCGAGCACCGCAGCGCCGCGTTCTCGTCTCGGAGCGCCTGGTTCTCGGCCTGCAGGATGGGCACAATGCCGCCGAGCCGGCGTGCCTCGGCCTCGGCGGCCTGGTAGTTGGCCTTGAGAGAGACGTTCTCGCGGGCGAGGCAGTCGTTGGACTCGCGCAGCTTGCGCTCCCGCTCAACCAGGTCGTTCCACTCATCGCGGCCTAAGTGGCAGCAGTCGTCGCGGCAACAGCGGTGGTGCTGCACCGGCGGCGAGCACTGCGGCTGCTCATAACGAGGGTAACCGTAGTAGTGGTGCGAGCGGGATCGTTTGAGAGAGATGTACTGTGTCCGACCGTCCGGTGCGGTATCAACGTACCAGCGGCGGTTAGACATATGAGTGGTGTGCTTGAGGCGGTGGTGTTTTGGGAGTTTGTCGCACTCGTTGCCCACTTCGGCTGTGGGACGAGGACTGCGACGAGATTCGCAGTCTTTAAGGTTGTTAGGTGTCTTTGTTGTTGTGTATGAAGGCTTTCAACTGATGTTGGAAGCCCTTTGGCTGAAGCTGTGTAAAGTATGGCTTGGGTAGCTGTGTAAGTAGTACGATGATGAAGAGGATAGGTTCGATGATACCGGAAAAGGGAGAGATCGCGGTACTAATATGGAAATCTGCGAGTAAAGACAGTAGACCACAAGGGCTAGGACGATATGCAGGTGATCGGAGCAGAAGACTTAGGGTCTAGGGACGAGCGAGGATTCGTGAGTCGACGGCATGGCCGCAGCGGGAAGCGGGTAAGGCTTGACTTAACGGGGCCATGCGAGGCAGCGCCCTGGCATAGGACTCAACCATCGTCCCGGGAGAGCCATGCCATTTCGGACGGGGAGGGAGGAGGGCGCCTCAAGAATATCGAGTCATCGAGGTGCCCTACTCGAAAGAAGGCAGCGACCACGAGGCTCAAGCGCGTGGGCAGGAGAGGGATGGGTGCCGGTTCGGTGGCTGGCGCGCGGTGAGGTATGCGCGTGTGTGTGGGAGGACTTTGGGGGCAGTAAAGTTGCAAGAAGGTGAGCAGGTTGCGGACGAAGACGACGCCATTTCCTTTATTCTGCCCCTGTTGGTGTCGAGGACCCTGGAGATGGTGAGTAGCAAGTGTCGGGTGTCATAATGCTGACTTGGTTGTGGGATGAACGAGGACTCAGAAGATGTGTGTAGCAGTCATGTAGACATCCTCACAAGTTGGGTGCGGTGAGACCTCGCAGGTCGTTTGGCCGCGAGCGCATGAGGGGGATGTCTCACGCGAAAGGAGGTCATTCGGAACCGGCTCCGGGGCTGTGACGACTTGACGGTCGCCCATCCCAGTCGTTGGGGGGAAGAGTCAGGGATTAGCGAGCGTGAAACGGAAAAACCCCAAAGACCAAGACGCTGCGACTAGGAGACGGTAAGTTTCTTCTTTCATGCAGCTTGGAAATAGAGTACAAAGCGATTCCCTGTAGCGCAGACGCGAGCGTTGACGTTTGGTGATGGTGTTGTTTAGTGGAGAGTTTTGGAGACCAAAGGCGGGATGATGCGCTGCGCAGGTGATTGGAGGGCCCCAAGTCTGCCGTCAGTCCGTGTTTACACTGTCAAGAAATGCCATTTTGGGGACATCAGCACTGTACGTACCCTGCGCTTGGGCTCCCTCCACATTTCTGCTTTCACTGGCTGGGCCAGACCTTGAGCAGAGAGATACGTACCTTTTCCTCTCTCCTTCAACGTCTCGACCAACACCGGTTTCTGACCCTCCATATCCCTCAGGTCGTCGACATAGCCCCGACAAGGCTACCGTTTAACCACCCCAACTCTTTCAACCAGACTCGATACCGGCGCACCCTTCGAGGATTGTCCACTTTGCCTTGACTCCCTCCGACCGCGGCTTTCAGCCCTCACGAGTCCGCGAAACGGTCAGGATGCCATTCCTTCGACAAACAGTCCCTCCCTATTGTGTCTCGACATCGCCGCCTTTGTGAGGCAACCGGAAGCGTCCAGAACTTTCTCAACAAGACTCATAGTCTCTGGTGGCTTGATGTTTGGGTGCCCTCCGCTACCTGATTGGGACCAGAATGGTCTCGTTGCCTTGTGCGGGTGGCAAGCGTGTGGTGGACTGCGCCGACGGTGTAAGTGGTGCGATGAAGACCGGTCTGCGAACTCATGCGAGATGAGCCACATCGTCGTCTTTCCCCGCACTGAACAGGTGGCCCTTGCTTGTGCTTACACGGCCCGAAGCTGAGGCTGAGGTCGAGCGCGTTTTCCTGCACTTTGATGCGCGACATCACACGAAGCTATCACGGGGATCGATGATGCTTATTTTTGGACCGCAGAATGGCTTGGCTGGTATTGCTGTGCGTGAGAAAACAACTGCTTGGCTTGGCGAGTTGGAATCATGTTCAATTGCCTCGCTGCCACGGGTACAGCAGCCGGCCTGACGAAAAGCTGACGGAACCTCTCGAGCGAGGAGGTTGCAATTCTTCATGCCACAAGTGGGTGTATTGCTGCTGACAAGGTTGGAAGGAATTAGAGCAGAACGCTCACAGCCTTCTCCAACTTAAGTATATCTTGGGAGCGGCCCTTTTAAATCATTTGGGGTTACACTTGATGCTGACAAAAAAGACTCTTCTCTTATGCCCAAGGATCTGTCTGGGAGCAACACCTCCGTCGTATCATTCATGGAGACGTTTCGAGAGACCTATTGTGGAACGGCTGTCTTCCACAGTGCTCATCGATGAGTAGAAGTAATGTTCAGGTCTGTTTGTCTGCACCTCTTTACAACAGTTCGGAGCAAGTGCTCTACTCTGAAATAACGCCCGCCATTTTGTGTCCAGAACATCTCTAACCCAAAGAACCATCCCTGACCAGCCTCAAATGGCAGCATTCACACCCCAAACGCCGCCACCAGGCCATCCATACCCATAATCCCCATTACCATATCCGTTCCCATGCCCGTTCCCATACGGATCACCGCCCAGTGCCCCTCTCCTGCCCATCCCCCGCGGCCCCATCCGGTTATGCTCCAAACAAATCGTCGGATCCTCCCCCTCGAGCTCCACGACCCTCGTGCACCCAGGCCGCCGGCACCGCGCGTGGCTTCGGCAGAAGTGCGTGTCGCCCTCGGCCCTCAGCGGGCACTGCTCGTGCCGGCAGGCGTGGCCGTTACAGAACGCCGACATGAGCAGCTCCGCGGCGCGGTCACCGCCTAGCACCGCGTACATGGGGTCGTAGTTCATGTGTGTCCGGCGGTGCGGACACGTCGGCACGGCGCACTTGTGCTGCGCGCAGAGCGCCGAGCCAAAGAGGGCGCGCTCGTTGCGGCAGGGCCGCCAGCTGCAGAGGTGGCTGGCGCAGAGCTCCGTGTTGTCGACGACGCGCACGTCGCAGCCTTCTCTCCTGCACCGGGTGATGGAGTCTGGGCCGATGTCAGTTTACCTATATCAGTAAGTATGTTGAGAGATACTCACGCTCCTCGCAGTGCAAACCAATATTCTCCCCATCGATCCTTCGGAACCGATCACATCCCGGCGTGGTACAAGCCCGATGCCTATCGCAGTAGTTGTTATGCTCACCATGCCTCGGACATCCCGGCCGTCCACACTGATGCTCCCGACAATACTCCCCCAACCACCTCCTCCACCGACAGTCCCGACTCTTACACGTATGATCTTTACACCACTGCGCGCCCTCCTCCCGATGGTCTCTGGCCCGCAGACAGCCCGCCTCGACACAAGTATGTGCGCCACAGACCCCGTCCGCACTCATCGGGTCCCGCGCCCCGTCGCAGCCGCCCTCGGCCTCCCAGCGGCAGTAGTGGGCGCCGCAGTGCTTTGAGGGCACGCCGTCGGCGCGGACGTGGGCGAACTGCCGGCAGCCGGCGGTGTGGCACATGCGGTGGCGGTCGCAGAAGCGCGAGGGGTCGTGGGGGTCGCCGGAGGCGCCTGGGCAGGCGGCGAAGCAGGCCAGCGCGGCGCACGTGTGCGAGGCGCAGTGGGTGCTGCCGCCTGGAGCGCGGGGGGATGTGCAGTCAGGCCGGACGCAGCGGTGGTCTTGGCAGTAGCGGAGGTCGACGTCGCCTTGGTGGATGCGTTCGTTTTTGCAGCCTTGTTGGAGGCAGTTGTCTGGGAGGGTGTGTTAGCGGGATGTTGGAGGAGGGTGGGAAAAGGGGGTATACGGAATTGGGCGCAGAATTGGTATTCCTTGGGATCGTAGGATTTGACGTAGTTTGTGCAGCGTTGACCGTTCATTATGCCGGTGCAGAGAAGGTCTGGACGATGGTCAGCTGGGCTGTTGAAGCAAAGAGTATGAAGGAAGTGAGAAGCATGAGGTGATACGATGGAGAGAAGGCCGTGAATGATTGAGTGAGAGGATTGAAAAGGGGTTCAAGGGCAAGTACGCTGGGTGCAGTATCCACGGCTATTGGTCTTCACATTCGTGCAAGCAGCGCCGTTATCAATCTTCTTGCAGCAGTGGATCTTGCAAAAGGGCGAGGCGAAGCGGGCGCCGTCCCTGGTCAAGGTGACTCTGGCATAGGGGCAGCGGAGGCCCATGGGGTGGGCAAAGCTGCAGAGCCGGGCAAGCTCCTGCGGAGTCAGGCGTTTCTTTTTGCTGAAGGCCATGCTGGGCAATCAGATTGGCAAAGAGATTGTGAGTTTGGTCAAAGTTTGGGAGTGATTAGGTTCAAGTTGTCGAGAGTTGCTTCAGGAGGCAGAGGTAAGCAGGCTGCTTGGGGATTGCGGGTTTAAAAACAGTCATACGCCTCCTCAACCTCGCCAAATGTCGGTGAGCAGGCACCCGTGAGGCATTGCGATGATGTTACAGAGACAAGAGGCATACCAGGGGATCGGCGAGAGGCAAACTGGCGTGACGTGGTAAGGCAGCCCACCCCTTCAGCGGGAGCACGAGGGGCGGTGTCGCGTATGTGAGGCTCCGTGAAAAATGATAAGACGCACCGGTTTATCAGAAACGGGCCTTGTGATTCAAGGGTAAAGAGAGAACAAGAATGCTCGAGGCGTACGAGGCTTCTTGGGTAAGGTGATGTATGTTTGGCCGATTGCCTAAGGGCGGTGTGCCTCATGGAGGTTGTACGGGATGCTGATACCCGTTTCTCGTGGGACGTTGACGGGCTTTCCGGAGGAAAGATGAGACAGGTCAGATGTTTGCTCGACGCGAGATGGAGACAGGATGATGAATGCCGTTGCCGTCGTCGTCTTCGTTGTCTTTGTCGTTCCTCATCGTCCAGCTAGACTTGATCATAAACCTGAAACATCAGGCAGATGTGCTGTTCCTGCTTCCACGAAAGCTGCTTCATAGAAGCTACTGGAGTCACGGTTAACATACTTATCCTTCCGCTTGCGTCTTTGGTAAGACCGGAAATTGGCAGGACGCGTTCGATCTGTCATTATATGAAGTCCCGCTGCGGAAGGGGTTGTCGGCGAGCAGACATAGCAATGGGCACATATTTGGACTGCCTAATGACCATCATACAGAACGAATTTCTTGTACTCGCGATGCCCGAACGAATGCTCATTTCTAACAACCTGTCTAGGGAGTATCAATGTTCACAAACTTCGGCAAGCTGTGCATCTTAGAAGCAAGTGTACCACGCCTAACCTATAAACCCCAATCAGATGAACGGATGTCCAGACCATATGATGAACCGGATAATAGACATCTCAGCATCCTCAAAGAATGCGTTGTAATGATCACCATTCTCGCCAATAAGCGGCTTAACCCGTCGATTCTCACAGCCATCCATCGCGAGTGGTTTGAAACAATCACCGAGAACAACCAGAGCATCGTTCCTCGATATCGAAGCGGCATGGTGAAGAACAATACCCTTCGCCTTCTTCCGTACTTCGTCATATGGGTGGTCTCGACAAACATCAGGCATGGTGCCCAACACATCCGCCGCGCTGACGATCGACTCCATCAACCCTCTTATATGCCCACGTTGGACAAAATCGTTGCAGAATTTTGCTTTGCTGCCGTGAACGTCACGAATGTGTTTGTACCGGCTTTCGGTGGAAATCTTGGTGCGTATCTTCTTGAGCTTGGGATGGTCCAAGTCTGGAAAGCAACCGGCTTTGTAATTCATGAGTCCGAGGAGTCGGCAGCAAACAGAGAGATGGTGACGAGGCTTCACATTGGGCTGTGAAATCCTCAGGATGAATTCGTCGACTTCCAAGTCTAGGTCGCTTCCGATGACAACGAGCGGGGTGGGATCTTGTATGTTGGGTTTGCTGCTGATTCTCAGACCCAAATTTTGAATCCTTTCGGCGATGGCGTACAAACGTATATCAGTCGAAGCAGAAAGAAACACCTTGCCGATTGATGGATTGGCTGTGAAAAGAATGGCAGTAACCGCTAGAAGGTTTACTGTGAATTCCCCTGTTATGCTGACGAGACCAAGACGGGTGCGGTTAGTCACGTAGTTGAAGTATTGATCTCGAGTATCGGAGGGAGCTTCCCATTTGAGCGCTTTGAGGTAAGCGTCCGGTATGCCACCGACGAGGTCAAAATTTGGAAGCTCGAGTGTTGTGTCACCAATCGGGCCAGACGTGCCCCCGACGAGTAGCTCTTTTAGCAAACGATTGGCCGCCCGATCCTCGGCAGACCTTTGAGATAGGTCGGTTTCAAACACATCCTTCACGGCGGCAACCCGTTGAATGTAAAGCTTGCGGTCGATGTTAAAATGAAGTCGAGCCGTGGTGGCTTCGTTCAAAGAGGCCACAAGAGAGGCTAAATCTCTATGTGCTTCAGCTTCAGGTGGGTCAATCGAGATGGATAGTCTTCCTCCAGGCGTCTTGTCCACGTCGCGTGACACAGTACCTTTGTATTGAGAAACCTGACCATCTTTGTGGACGGCTAACGTGACTTGGGTACCGTTTTTGGTCAGATGGGGAACCGACATCCACAACGTCGACAGCTGTTTTCATGTTATTAGAGAACCAGTCCAGATGGAGGCAGAGACAGATACATACCATAGCGGGGTCGGTGAATTTCGCATCCGCCGTCACTTGTGTTCCCTTTGGTTCGAAGTGGACTTCGCAAGGACTTTCAGCAAGCTGGTTCACATGTCGATTGACCCAAAGCTCTTCTTGTAAGACTGATTTTGTTAAGGCATTGAATGCGTTGGAAGCGGTTTGGTAGCATCTCCTTGCAGCGACCTTCTCGTCAGGTTTCTTGATAATTTGGTTTGTGTCGGGATCGATCACCCAGTCGTGTCTAGACAAGGCTGCGTCAGCTTGGGCTTCTTCAATATTGGACGACAGCGCAACAGTCTCCATCGGCGGAAAACGCACCTGTCACCATTCTGGCCACTCTGAGGTGAAACATCCAGTTGAAGACCAAATTGAGATGATATTGCGGAAGAGTGACGACTGTCAATCACGAGATTGAAATTCTTCTCTCTCATTATGTCTCGGAGGGATCGGAAGCCATTTATCTTGTCGTCGAGTCCACCAAGCTCCAATGAACCCGGGGCTTCCCGCCTGAAGAGCAAGCCGAGTCCCTCCACAACAGGGGAGGATTCTGAACGTAGGCACACCAAGATGTAGCTTCGGGGAGAATTTGTGTTGAAGAATCTCCCGTGGTGCTCTTGGGGTAGTGGTTGGGTGGTGTATGTCCAAGTTCCGACTGGGAATTCGAGTTCGATGGCCATCTTCTCCCATGGGTCATGTGGCTCGTAATGGTATGTCTCAACGTTGTCCTAACGTCGTTGCAGATAAATTTTCAGTACGAGTCGATTTTGACCTGGGTAGGCGCAAAGGCGCGTCTCAAGTTGTCCCTGAAAGCCGAAGTTGAAGCCGCCAAGCAGGACTCCGTCCTCAGGGAAAAGGATAGCGCAATCATATCCGACGAAGAAGTTTCTTGGGTACGCCATTTTCCTATTGTGCCTTATGGTCAGAATGATTGCTCAGTATTTTCTCTACAGCTGGTGCGACTTGCAGATGTACGTGCGACCGTCTTTGCCGCCAGTCGAGACGGAGGGAACTAGAATCGGTGATGAAGGATTGTCAAATATCTGACGTGACTGTTGAGGCAGAACGATGTTGATCGAAGCCAATAAACAAAACTGAGACTGTTGCAATTTGCTGTGCTTTGTTTGGCGAAGGAATCCGGAAAACTGATATCGTGACGCTAACAATGGCCAAGTTGCAGATGGTGTTTTGACGAGACGTTGAAAGGGAAAGATGTAAGAAGAACCAGAGGGATCATTGGGTTTCCAGGCTCCGCTAAGGCCGCCCAGATAATAAGGAAGGTCCAGTCCATAGCTTTTGAGCGCAAGATTATGAAAGGCGGTTTAAGGTGAAGGAAAAGGCGCGACCAGTAGGGCTCTCTGCCATCGTACGGTCCCAAATGATGTATCAGGGTAGGCAATCATATTCGTGCCTGCCTCAGGTATGAACACTATACCTTCCTCACTCAAGGCTGCTAGCAATGGTTCTTTGTCTTGTGGTCGGTGCGGTTCATGTCATGATCTGCCTTTGATTATGGAAAGAGCGATTTGATCCGAGAGGCGCCTCGCGCCTTTACTCTTGAGGGTGTGCTTATCGCGCCACCTTGTAGCAGTGATCCAATCACCTCGAAACGTGCTCGGAACGAAGAAGGTCCTCACTAAAAGGAAAAACTCCTCCCAAATCAGAACGACCTCAAAACCGGAGAAGGTATTTAGCAGCGTGGTTGCTTGCGCCAATCTCACCCCCAACCTCACACTCAACGCACTTTCTGCTCCCTCTTGCCCACGAATTTTTCTGCAACGCAACTGAAAATCGCAGAAAGAAATTTTTTTTCAACAATTTGCATTTTCCGAGTCCGCTGATCGGTCGCAAACTTTTCTCCCCGCCGATCACTGGTTCAATCCCGATCCCTCACCTTACCTTCCTACCACATACCTACCAGACCCACCCAGTTGTTGCAGCTCTCATCTCCTCTTGCCATCCTCTTTTTGTTTGCTTGGTGGTGATTTATCTCGACTTCCATTTCAAGCACTCTTCTCATCGGTGTCGCCTTCTCACTTGTACTCGGGCGGCAAGATGCCTCGGCCTCCTCGCCTGCCACGCTCGTCGCGGCCACGCCACAACAACCAGAACCGACCTTCGGCAATCACAGAGTATCACCCATGTGGAATCCTTCGTCATGGAAGCTACGAAGTTATTGGAGGCCAGAAGATAGGCTTCCCCGACAGAATCGAGACTGATTTTGTCGCCAACCCTGGTGGCAGTGGCCGAGCATATGTCGGGATCCGTTTCCGCTTCCCGCGGCACTTGGAGAACCAGTCCTTTTCTAGGACCAAAGACGTATTTTCGATAGTTCTAAGATTCCCGGCTGGAACATTCTGTATGTCCATCGAGAATCTTTCTCGAGGTACCTTCGATTTGATTTCGCCGCGCGAAGAGACCAACGACCTAGCTATCATCAACCTCAGCCTCGGTGATGGCCAGACTGCCTCAGTCGATGGTCTTGGACCGGCACTCCGTGAAGAGACGGATCTCATTGACAGCTACATTAACGTGAACCAGGAAGCTCGGGGCTGGAAGACCTTGCGCGACATCTTCAGCCAACGTCAGTTTCGAATTCTGGCGAGGCGTGGGGTTCAGTCGTCGACCGCACTGGAGAAGTTCGCGTTCTTTCCCAGCTCTCAAAACCACCCTTACAGCCATGTGTCAGTATTTTCATCTTCGGCTTGATACCTCTTTGCGAAACTGACTCTCTTACCTAGTCATCATTGGGATTTAAGCCGCTATAACCATCAGATTCCGGCCAACTCCAGTAAGACGCAGTATCCAGAAAAGTTCGAATTCGACAACACCGAAGATGCCCTCACAACCATGACCCAGTCTGTGGTCCAAGATGCGTACTGGTTTTACGTCGACGTTCGAGAGATCCGAGGCATTCGGCAGCGCGCCTTCTTCTTGAAACAAGGTTCTCGCTCAACTGAGGATACCGACTCCTTCTTCGTCTTGATGACATTGACACCTGATATTGTGCGTTTTTCTTTTGAAGTCTGTCGTTGAAGAATCATCTAATCCTGGTCCAGACGACTCGTTTCAGCAAATCCGTCAAGCGCATCACCAAACTCGGCCGCACGGTACGAATCTCGTTCAGAAAGCCCCCAGCCCCAGGCACAAGGAGAAGAGACGGTATGGTGGACAGAGACGATCTCTTCTGGGAGGGTATAATCAGACCGACCTATGCTGTCCAGATCAAACACAAGCACAGTCTGGTACTTCACGCAAAGCGCCCGTCCAACCCGGAATCAGCTGCATTTGCTATCCGCGACTACAAGATCAAGACTTGGTCACCAGAGTCTGAGTCAGACGACTAGATGCACGTCTGGCTCGATTTTGGTGACGGCACGAATGTCGCTCGGCGCCGTGTCGATGCAGTCAACAACGCCCTCTCTGTGGCCGACCCAGAGGTGGAATCGCCGTCGGACGAGATGGACAACAATTGCCAGGACGACACACCAGAGAGACTTTATCATCGAAAGCTTTATGGCAGTTTCCTTCGCGACTTCTTCGTGGGTCGTGGTCTGGGCAACACGCTCCTCAACCCGCCTATGATGGACTCTGGCGATGTTGGCACCCATGGTCTTAGCCTCAGCGAGCCGTCGTTGGTCGCCCCAAAAGTCGACATACTTGGACCAATCAATGCTGCATACCGCGAGGCTCTTTTGGAGATGCTGAAGCCGGGATCACGCGAGACGTACAAATCATATCTGGAATATGTTGTTCTCGGTCTCGTCGGTATTTTCGGGGAGGTGGAGTCGTGTACTTCAGAAGTTCTCGCCGTCACTGCTTTGCTGTACATGGGCAACCCCGATATCAAGACTGTCCATGCTGCAGCTTGGAGGAATGAAGACGTCACCAAGTTCGCTCGCTGCTTGCATAGCACCGCCTCAACTGTTGTCCGGTCGATGAAGGATAAGTATACTTCGGCAGCTCAGCCTCACATTCCTCTCATCGTCCGCGGTTGTAACATTCATTCTGAGGTGGAGTCCTTTATCAAAATGATCCAGGGCGATCTCTTGATCTGGGATCCAAGGCATTGGAGCCGACCCTTTTCGCTCTGCGAGTGGCTTCTCAAGATTGTGCAGCATGATGAATTTGACTTGGACCAGCTGGACCGTCCTGAACTGCTTGAAATCCGTCACAAGTGGAAGACCAGCGCTGACTACGCTGGCCTGCGCGCTTTTGTTAACCACGATATCGAGTTCTGGCAGGTCAAGGAGTTTGATCCTACTCACTACCCTGACAACCAGCCGCAGACCGCCACCCTTGCCGACTTTCTTTCCGAGAAGCTCACCATTGACCAGGACGAAGAAAAGGACAAAGACTCTTCAAGCTCGGATGCCACACTCAATGAGGAGAGTGTCGAGGAAGAAGAAGGGCTTAGCGCTGAGGAGCAAGCTGCCAGATTGAAGAAGGAGGTCTGGCCCCACAAACTGATCCAGCTTCTCATGGTCGACATCCTGGACGTCGCTGATGCGCTCTGCACGACACCCCATGTATCTCGAGACGTTCCCTACGACAAGTTCTGGAGGTCCGCCGGTGCGGTCGTCTTCGACGAGGCCACCCATCTCTCCAAGTCAGACGCCGTGATCGTGTGGGGCAACACGATGAGGCCTTGTGCAATGGCCGGCAAAGAAGGCCAGACTCCTTGGAGCGGAATCGATCCCTTCAAGACGCATGAGGACGGACCACACAAGGGCGACTACTATAACCGCTTCGGACCCGAGGCCAAGGTCTCTGCTCTGGAATTCATGCGCACAACGGGATGGCCGTGCTTCGAGGCGGCGTCGTCGGATATGCCCAAGTTCGGTGAGGATATGAACTCGTTCGATAATGTTGATGGAGGTTGGTGAGGCGGATTTGTAGGTAGTACTCGCTGGACATGCGTTGGAATTAAGACGCGACTTTGCGTAGTCTTTTTTTTGTTCGATAGATGAAAATGGCTGTCTGTATTGCATTTTCCAAGAATCCTGCGTGACTTGTTTGAAGTGAGGTGTTTTCTAGTGACGAGCTCGGTCGAGCGCAGGAGAAGTCTCGGATCGATTGCTGGGGATACCCCCAAGACGCTCGCGATCAATCGCGGCTCTACCAGGCCCACGAAAAGCGAGAGACTCTTTATATTATATCATTAACATGCGTTCGCGTTTCATCCACTTTACTGCACTAATTTGCTGTTTTTATTCGTTCCCTATCGCTATGCAGTAATCTTCTTATCCCTGACTTGAAGGCGCTTTTTCTCCATCCGTCGCGCCTACCCCTTTTTTCTCTCTGTCATTCGTGGTATCATGAGCAAACAAGAAAATCGCTTTTGGTGCCGCCCCTGCTTTTTCTTTCCCTCTGTAAACTTTTGTTTTTTTGGTTCTCCAATTCCCTCCTTTCCCGTCGCCTTTGGAAAAAAACAACAACAGACAAATGTCCATAATACCTCTCCATATAATATAATTCTATAAAGAACAATCGCTCTTCAGAAATGACTGCGCTATCTCCTCGCGCTGAACTTGCCCATGTTCTGGTATCCCAAAATCATGTGTAGACAGGCGCTGACGGAACATTCCACAAAAGGCCGAACATGATCCTGCGCGAATCGATATCTCCCGTATCCGTATTAACACTGTTGGAAAAAAGCATCCGGCATCAGATCTCGTTGTTGACGAGATACTGCTGAGTGCCGTTGCCGTTACAAACCTCGTCGGTCAAGGTTTGCGAAGTGATGCTATAGTTGACGCTGTAGTCGTGGAGGATGTGGGGTTGATAAAAGTACTGAGCGTTGATTTGCTCGTCGCTCTAAGACAAGCTGGCGCTGCTACTGTACGCCTCGAGTTCGCGCAAGCTCTGCATAAGAGCTGCCTCCTTCAGGTCATCATTCTGCTGGCTATACACAGGCGCAGAAGCGTCGGTGGAGTACTGGGGAGTAGCCTCCGCCGGCTGAGAGACCTGCGGCTGAACATGCTCTTGCTGAGGCTGCTGCTGATGATGCTGCTGTTGTTGCTGCTGCTGGTGCGGCTGCGGCTGCGGCGTTCCAGGTTGAGAGTGATGTTGGATGTGGGAATGTGTCGGGGTGTGAGGTGGCTGTGACAGGGCATGAGGTGTGTGGGAAAGCTGAGCTGCTGTTGCCGCATAAGGTGAGGAAGCCGGTAGTACACGGTTGTGGGTCGGCGTGGCCGTGGCAGGCGTCGCTGGTGGCCCGGAAACAGCGGCATGTGTTGGCGTAGTAGCATGAGCGAGATGATGTGACATTTGGGCTGCAGACTGCGAGGGCGTGCTGGGCGCAGTAGCTGGTGTCGCGCTCGCGCGGTTTTGCTGAGGATGCTGAAGGCCACCGGCAAGAGTCATGATTCCTTGGACACGCGCTTGCTCCTCCTCTGAGTTCATGCGTGCCCTCTCCTCGGCCTCCTTTCTCGCTGCCTGAGTCGGCGCTCTCGTCTTGAGTTCACCGGTGACGGCTTGCAGATAGTACGGCATCTCTGAGTTGGTCTTCAGGAAGAAGAGCTTCAGGTTTCGTGCCTTGTCCTTGAGTTGCACCTGAGTCCGGTCTTTGAGTATGTTTGAGAGCGTGCCTTCAGCACCAAAGAGCGACAAGATTTGACTCCAGTGGGGGCCCTGAACCATGTCCAGACCGGTCATCAACGCCTTTTCCTCCTCCTGAGTCCAGGGACGTCTTGTTGACGTAGTTCCTTCTCTCCTCTGCTGGTTGTTCGTCTTGCTCAGCGCCGCTTGCCTGGCTCTATCATAGAGCACTGCGCTAGGCAGTGACTGGCTAGGGGGCAGCTTCTCTGAGTTATCGTGCTGTGCCGGCGGAGGTGGCTGCTCGACTGGCGGAGGGTAGCCATAGTACGGTGACTGAGCCTGGGTTTGTTGCAAGTGTGAAAGGTACGTCGTTTGTGTGACGGGAGCAGCTCCTGTGGGCGTTGGTACTGTCGGTTGGTACGGTGCTGGCGAGAGGTTGTTGAGGGTTGTTCGGACGTATTCTTGTGTGCTTTGCGCGACCAGGGCAAGGATATCGTTCGTTGAGTCTTGGACTTCGGCCGTGTTTCCGTTCGTTGTCGGCGCTGGAGGGGGGGCTTCAGGTGCGGGTGCGGCGGCGGGCTCTGGGGGAGGAGCACTGGTCTCGGTCGATGGGACGGGAGGCTGAGGGTCGTGAGGCAAGCCATCGATGGCGTCGGTCGGGAGGTACTGTGCAACGAGGCCGTCTGTTGCCTCGAGCAAGGAGTTGATTCCTAGATCATCCAAATCGTGAGATACCGATGTGTCCAGGTCGCCGTTCGACATTGTTGATGGAAGCTCAATGCCGTGTCTTGAAGCAAGACCTGCCAGAGATTGCAGCTTGCGGCGCAGGTACATGTTAAGTAAGCGGAAAAGGTCTTCATCTGGGTAGCCGATCTTGAGAAGAACTGTACGTGACCTGTCAGCAATGACACAGAGAGAGACGTGGTCGAACTTCTTACCGGTGTCTGGGAGACCCGAGGCGTATGAGATCAGAGCCGCCTTCCGTTCTTGCACAGCAGTGACCAGTGACTGTTCCTCAGTCGTCAAAGTTGAGCCCCCGTGCCTTGCGCGTAGCTTATCCTCCAAATCAGCAGAGAAAGCATCAGCAATCAGTTGGTCGACCGGCGCTGACTGGTCCGCTGTCGTGACTGCGTCAATGACGAGGTGCGTCTTGACAGCTACGAAGAGATCAGAAATTTCTTGCGTGACCGTGTCGTGCTCGCCACCAGGCAGGAAAACTGAGAAGAAGTGATCTTGCAAAGCGAGCAGCTCCTTTGAGGTGGAATCGTGGTGTCCATCGAACGAAAAGAGCGCGCAGCAAAAACTCGCAAGGTTTGCGACTTGGACGTCGGTAAGGTTATCCGGCAGAGTAAGATCCAGCGTGGCGGGATCCAGGATAAGGTCGGTAGTCGAGTAGATCGCTCGTGTCTGCTGGAACAGAGACTTTATCGTGGCAAAGGACTTGGAGACTTCGGAGTCCTTCTCTTGTAATTGTTGGTATACGTCGTCGAAGACATGTTGCGACAGGATCACAAGCAGCTGCAGAGCCTGCAGACGGGGGAAGCATTAGCGGTGCCACCAAGACTGACGAGACCGCCACGTACAAAGTTTGACAAACAAGTGGTAGTTGTCCGTCGCATCAAGGCCAGCGGTTCGGAGAGAACAGGCGTATGGGACTCGGTGGATGGGGGAGGCTCTTGCGACACGGATCCCAGAGGGTCTCCGGACATGTCCACGTCCGGGACAGAATCCAGACCGTCAACCTTGCCCATCTCGTTGTTGATGTCCATCATGACGCCCTGAATCATCGCGTCCATGTCGAAGTTGAGATCCAGAGGCGGACCCTCATCGTCAACCTTTAACCTCTTGGACTCGGCATCTGGATCGTCTGCGCTCGAATCGCGGGGTCGCTTGAGTGGGAATTGGGGGGTCTCGCCCAGATCGGTGACAAGACTCGGGGATTCTTGCTTCATTTCGGGTCCTGCGACCAAGTCAGCACCTTCCTCGACTGTCTTTTGGGCTGTTGGTGGTCGCTATCAAGGTCTCCGAAGCTGGTGAAGAAGTTCGTCGGCCGGGGAAGGTGGGAGGCCAAGGCGTACCTGTCGGCGAGTGCGCCTCCGCCTTTGGAGGCTGCGCCGCCTCGGCAATAGCTTCAATGCCCTCCATGAGCATCTGGAAGCACGGAGACAGCTTTTCGGGGTGGTTTGGAGGGCGTGTAGCACCTTGGCGGGCGGTATCGTGATCTTTGCTGTTCTTGCAGATTGGGCGGAAAAACTTTTTGGGAGAAAATCCGAGCGCCGATGCCCTTATAATCTGCCCCAAAGAAGATGTCACTCCCGATACACAAGATCCTGCCTTCAGATGGGAAAATTCACCGCTTGTCGCCGGGAAAAGGGGCGTCGTGATTGGCCGGAAGACGGAAAAATGAGAATGGTCTGTGCGTTCATCCCGGTCAAGTCACTTATCGCAGGAATTTTTTTTTTCTCGACACCTCTGCCCCTCGGAGCCGCAGTCACCAACCCGCCGAGTTAAGATGTCAATCCCAGCCCCTCCTTTTCGAGGTTTTTCCGATTTTTTTAGTCTGGTAGCTGATGCAACTCTATCAATGCAGCCTGGGACTTATTATCCAGTGAATGCCTCTCCCAGACTCTCACCGCATATGGACCTGCGGGCTTGAACGTGTTCAGGTGAAGTCGATCCTGTCTTTCCTCATGACAGCGAGCAACTCCAATTCATTGCCATCCAGACTGAGATCTGCCGTGACGTCATTCTTTGCGATTCTCATCGAAAGACATATCCCAGTCACATGTGTCTTCCCAGCTCTTAAGGCGGCGAATCAAGATGGACGCTTACTGGCCCGGTTCTGCCAGCCGAGACCGCCGGGGTCCTGGAGCTTCGCCCTTGGCAACATGAGAAGCAAACAGCTCTCAGGTTTTTGAGATGATGGCTATCCGTACGTGGGCAAGGGTTCTCATTGAGCAAAGCGTCCAAACGTCGTCCTACCTAGTCTACGGTAGCGTCGATGCTCCCGTGAGTCCGGCTCGAAAGGCCCCGCAGCTTGTAAGTCAGGCACCGTTTGACCGGGCAAGCGAGACATTGTATGCGACCCTCCGCCAGGCATAGCAAGAAGCTTGGCCAGGCGCCCTGCAGGTCAACCGGAACGACGAAATTGGAATTATACACTGCGCCATCGGACAGAAGCAGCATGTTTGTTCTCACCCCAGCTCTGAGTGCATCTCATCCCACCAGCATATACACCTCGTCCAATTCTCACAGACGCGGATCTTTATGTACGGCTTTGATTTCAGTATCACATTCACTCAATCGCCACTTCGGTTGAGTGTCATATATCTCAGATGCCTGTTGA